AGTCATCCCACGAAAAGTCTCTGTATTATCGAAACCTAAGCCGAGACATTTCCGCAAAAGAAGAGCAGCTGTCCAAAATGATGAATTCCCTGAAGTCACCATCAACGTGGCTGATAGAAGAAAGTCTAAACAGCATTCAAGTGACTCAAATCCCGACTTTTCCCCGAAAGGAAAAGTCAATCCAAGAATTGCTCAAAGGATGTCTCGACTCCAATTAGGAGCTATCAGACGCAGAGACTACAAGAGAATGCAAGAAGGAATGTCCTCGGAGGATGAATTCTCGGACACTTATTCTGCAATCGCTTCTGATGATACAATGTCTAGCACAGGACAAATCAGAGAAGTATTCACAATCACTGCTGATCAGTTCACTCAAATACTTCAGGAAGCTCTAGCCAAACAACGTGAAGAAATTAGAGCTGAAGTGAAGACAGAAATGGAGTTAGCCATCCAACAAATGAGAGAATTGCTAGCTCAGCGGTCTCAACCCCCTGAGTCCAGTCAAAGAACTGAATCCAGCCGCCACACTCAGAAAGTTGTGGATGACAGTGATCCAGAAGTGGATGAAGTCATTATGGCTGATACACCTCCCAATAGCAATACCGCTGGGGGTGGTTTAGCACATCCTCCCAATAACTGGTTTAACACATTCTCCCAATAACGATATTGGGAGTGGTTCAATGGCACCTCTTACAGGGGGTGGTCTAACTCATTCTCCTCAACGTCATTCGAATGAAGACATAGACGATGACGGGAAAATGAAAGAGCTTAAAAACAAAGTCAACGCTTTGATGACGGCTCAAGAAGTGAAGAGGACGGGTATTCCATGTCCCTATCCAAGAGAATGGGATTAAATACTGTATCCGACGAAGTTCATTCGCCGATTCAACACTTGATTTATTTCAAGTCTCATTTGAGCATGATCTCTGGAAACGAGGCTTTAATGGTCCGGTCATTCGTTGGCACCCTTCGTGGGCCCGCCTTCGATTGGTACCGACGGCTCAAGCCAGGAAGCGTCAATTGCTGGGATGACATGGAAAGTTTGTTCCTCAGTAATTTCTTCGATGATGACACCGAAGTATCAATCGGAACCCTTTTGGATGAGAAGCAAAAAGACGGAGAGTCAGTCGACGATTTTGTCAAGCGTTTCCGTAACAAGGCAATGAATTGTAGAGATCCTATTACAGAGGAGTTCATCCTGCAAACATGCCACAATAACCTCTCCATCGATGTCTACAGAGGAGTTTATCCTGCAAACATGCCACAATAACCTCTCCATCGATGTCCTGGAAGCTCTGGGGGTCGTGCCATCCACAACTTGGAAGGAGTTAAAATCTCGGGGTGAACAAGCTGAGCACTTTCTTAAAAGAAAGAAAGCTGAGAGAGGCCAACCAATGACATCTGCAATCATTGAGAATGCAACTCTCAATCCGAGTTTTCAAAAGGAATATTCTTTTGAAGATGATGAAGCTCCAACCATATTGGAATACCTCCTCGCTAATGACAAAATCGAGCTACCACCTATTAAAGATCAGGATGGAGCTAAGAGGATTACGGATCCAAACTACTGTGCGTACCACAGAAGGGTTCTTCATCCCACCGAAATTTGCTTCGGACTCAAAAACAAAATCCAAGCCTTAATTGACTCCGGCGTCATAACGGCGAAAGAAGTCGAGTAAAGACGACCATATAACTCCAATGGGTGCACGAGTATAAACTGTTTCCCCACACTCCAAAGAGTGTATGAGTATAAACTGCTCCTCGGTCATCCAACTGAGTACAATGTTAAACCCGGTTTCGCAAAGGAAGCTGGGGGTGGATGATTTATGTAACGGGAAGTTCCTGGAGAATCTTATATTCTTAAGGATAACCCGAACATGCGACTGAGGATAACGTACTCCTCGTTACACCCAGTTTTGCAAAGAAAGCTGGGGGTGGATAATTCATGTAACGGGAAGTTCCCGGAAGAATGTTAAATGTAATATTCTTAGGGATAACCCCGATCATTATGAATAAAGTGATAAACACTAAACTCCTACTATGACTTCCGAATACTCTTTTGCTGAGATGAGATTCGATCACCTCTTTAGATCAATCTTCCCTCACAAAATTCCCACTCGGTCAAACCTTTAAACAGTTAGGACCAAAGCCAAAATCCCCTCTCGATTCGTTCCATGAACGAGAGGTCCACAAATTAAACGATCAAACCTTTAAACAGTTAGGATCGTCTTAAATTCCCATTTTGGTCAAACCTTTAAACAGTTAGGACCAAAGCCAAAATCCCCTCTCGATTCGTTCCATGAACGAGAGGTCCACAAATTGAACGATCAAACCTTTAAACAGTTAGGATCGTCTTAAATTCCCATTTTGGTCAAACCTTTAAACAGTTAGGACCAAATCCAAAATCCCCTCTCGATTCGTTCCATGAACGAGAGGTCCACAAATTAAACGATCAAACCTTTAAACAGTTAGGATCGTCTTAAATTCCCATTTTGGTCAAACCTTTAAACAGTTAGGACCAAATCCAAAATCCCCTCTCGATTCGTTCCATGAACGAGAGGTCCACAAATTGAACGATCAAACCTTTAAACAGTTAGGATCGTCTCAAATTCCCATCTTGGTCAAACCTTTAAACAGTTAGGACCAAAGCCAAAATCCCCTCTCGATTCGTTCCATGAACGAGAGGTCCACAAATTGAACGATCAAACCTTTAAACAGTTAGGATCGTCTCAAATTCCCATCTTGGTCAAACCTTTAAACAGTTAGGACCAAAGCCAAAATCCCCTCTCGATTCGTTCCATGAACGAGAGGTCCACAAATTGAACGATCAAACCTTTAAACAGTTAGGATCGTCTCAAATTCCCATCTTGGTCAAACCTTTAAACAGTTAGGACCAAAGCCAAAATCCCCTCTCGATTCGTTCCATGAACGAGAGGTCCACAAATTGAACGATCAAACCTTTAAACAGTTAGGATCGTCTCAAATTCCCATCTTGGTCAAACCTTTAAACAGTTAGGACCAAAGCCAAAATCCCCTCTCGATTCGTTCCATGAACGAGAGGTCCACAAATTGAACGATCAAACCTTTAAACAGTTAGGATCGTCTCAAATTCCCATCTTGGTCAAACCTTTAAACAGTTAGGACCAAAGCCAAAATCCCCTCTCGATTCGTTCCATGAACGAGAGGTCCACAAATTGAACGATCAAACCTTTAAACAGTTAGGATCGTCTCAAATTCCCATCTTGGTCAAACCTTTAAACAGTTAGGACCAAAGCCAAAATCCCCTCTCGATTCGTTCCATGAACGAGAGGTCCACAAATTGAACGATCAAACCTTTAAACAGTTAGGATCGTCTCAAATTCCCATCTTGGTCAAACCTTTAAACAGTTAGGACCAAAGCCAAAATCCCCTCTCGATTCGTTCCATGAACGAGAGGTCCACAAATTGAACGATCAAACCTTTAAACAGTTAGGATCGTCTCAAATTCCCATCTTGGTCAAACCTTTAAACAGTTAGGACCAAAGCCAAAATCCCCTCTCGATTCGTTCCATGAACGAGAGGTCCACAAATTGAACGATCAAACCTTTAAACAGTTAGGATCGTCTCAAATTCCCATCTTGGTCAAACCTTTAAACAGTTAGGACCAAAGCCAAAATCCCCTCTCGATTCGTTCCATGAACGAGAGGTCCACAAATTGAACGATCAAACCTTTAAACAGTTAGGATCGTCTCAAATTCCCATCTTGGTCAAACCTTTAAACAGTTAGGACCAAAGCCAAAATCCCCTCTCGATTCGTTCCATGAACGAGAGGTCCACAAATTGAACGATCAAACCTTTAAACAGTTAGGATCGTCTCAAATTCCCATCTTGGTCAAACCTTTAAACAGTTAGGACCAAAGCCAAAATCCCCTCTCGATTCGCGAGACAGCAAATTTACTGTCTCGCTGGGCGAGACAGCAAACACTGTCTCGCCCGCCGAGACAGCAAACGCTGTCTCGCGAGCACTGTTCATACAGAGATTATAAATACCCCCGAGGTGATTTCTTTGAGGGGGCTTCCAGCAGAGATCCAAGGCTGATCAGAGAGCATCCATAGGCTGATTCCAGAGCAGAGAAGGCAGAGTACTCGAGCTTCTGGTAACTCCTTGATATTCAGGCTTTGACTTGATTTCAAGAAGAACGATTATCTTACCTTGATAAGATATCGTTTCAAGTTCTCACTTCGATAAACGAAGTCAGAATCATAAACCCCTCACGATTCGATCAGAATCTGTGATTTGGTGGTCCACGGGCTAACGCACCCCCGGCACAGGCAAAGATCCCACGCAAGCAGTGATCCAAACAACGATCCTGTGTTTGTTTCTCAAGAGTTGTAATTTTCATTTTGTTGTGTAAAAGAAGTCTTATAAAAAGGCTATTTCTTTTGAATTTATTGTAATCGACCGAAGATATAATGAATTCCATGACAAAACCAACTTTTGACGCAAACAAAAACTAATTGTGCTCCTACCATATAACACTAAATGAATATGACAGAAGCAAAGTCTGCTGGGATATGGATTCCTATTATCAGCCTTGATGATAGTCACACATCAGTAGGGCAATAAGTCCCACCAAAAGGGCCATCATATAAGTAAAACGCATAACTTATGAAGATACTCAACTTTAAAAACCACCCAAATAGTCAACATTTTCAAGGGAAAATCCTTAAGTTCAAAAAAGAAAATATGGAAGAACACGCCATAGTTATGTGGCACCTAAAAGATATGGAAGGATTCCAATTTCTCAATGCATTCAGCTGTTTAATAATAATGGATTCAGCTGTTTCTCAATGCAGCAATTGGAGGGAGAAGAGAGAATAAATTCAAAACTATTCAAATCATGTAGGATGTAGAAGGCCAACCAAAGAAATAAAGTACAAACCTGTGATGGGTTCACTAAAAAAAGAAAAGAAAAGAAGAGCATGACATTAATCCTAACATGATGATGAGTAATCCATACCTTTCACAAAATTTAACAACTTTTTCAGTAGCATCAGATCTACATTTGCGTGTTTTAACATAGAACTCCATAGGTTTGTATGATACATCCTGAAGAATGCGTACTGAAGAATTGGTTAGTACTTGTTCATGTATCAAGAATAAAGATAACATTTAGGATACAATATATAAGACTGATGCACAACTTTTGAAATAAAAACATAGGTTATCAGTTAATAGCAACCAATTAGTTTAGGTAAAACATCTGCAACAAAGATAAAATGCAACAACTTTGTACACCTGTGACTAACATGTTACTCCAAAACTTCTATACCAATTATGTGCCTACTAGGTGTAAAATATGAAATTGGAGAATATAGACTATCAAGATTTAAAAGTACAATGCAACGCGCTAATACACATGGTACATATGCAAAAACACTACATATCAAGCATTATGCAAATCAACACATATCAAGCATTATTAACTGTTTTTTATGTTGTTAACATCCTCATATTTAGATGTTAAAACATTGGTTCAACAGTAGTGATCAAACTTCATCATCTTAGTGACAGAACGAACAATTAAGTATCATCATCCAATTCAAAACCTAATTGTATCTTTGTTAGATGATAGATATCCAAATCCAAATCCAGATTATTGTAAGAGTCAAGATATGTTGATTTATAAAAAAAAGGCTATCTCATGTATTGTAAAGCAAAGATGATCAAGCATTAATACATTTAGGATTTGTCATAATATCTGAATTAATTCAACATGATATATTTCACATTTTTTTAATAACCACATTGAACATAATAATCAGCCATCGATAATTAATGTTTTCCATATTTATAGGCTAACGGGAAGTCTAACAAGTTGATATAATAGAATCATCTTAATCAAGTTGACTAATGATTTACCAACATGTCAATGTGATTCCTCTATTTAAAACCCAATATCTAGGATGCAGTGACCTCATCCTCTAAATCAATCAAGCAGACCTCCCTCTTGTTTACTCGATAACCACACCCAGTATTCAGCCTTTTCACATGTGAGGATCCCCATCTCATATCAAATTAAAGACTTGAACAACAAACATCATGAAGACAGCTATTCTTTAGTTAGTCCTTAGGTACAAAGACAAATAGCCTAGTACAGTTGTAACTCAAATTGCAATCCACAGAATGAAGACCGATAAACAGTACGAGTAGCAAAATTTCCCGATTTAACAGAGTAAATGAACAAGTAAAGGTGAAATAGGTTTTACCCTTATGTATGTTAATTCGTAGAGTGCATATGCTGCAGACTTGTTGATCGTGATGATTGGAGGTGCACGTATTGTTTGCATTTTTTGTGTATCATTCTCCTCCACCTCCACTAGTTCTGCCACAATAGAAGCCTCCCCACCGCTCTGCCATTTATAAACAAAATAAAAGATTACTAAAATGCTACAAAGAAAGCGGAATAAGGAATGCACTTTTCTTTCTTTCTTTCTTTCTTTCTTTCTTTCTTTCCAGGCATGACTATCATTGGATCATAAACAGGAGCATCAATTTCCACAGACTTAAGAGGAATTGAAAGCTAAAAAAGTGAACCCATTCATTCAAAAGCTAGGTTTCCTGAAACAATATCCAAATTATTTACGACCAAGAATTAGTAAGGGGTCTAGGAGAATTCACCCCTAAAAGAAAGTTGTTACAAGGTGATACGAGTAGCCGTGTGAGCACCTTTGATCGCGGAATTATCAAAAATGTCTTTGTGAAGAAAATAGCAAACCACAAGAACAATTCAATATGTCGAAGGAAAATACCTTCTCTAGATTATGAAGAATAATAGATTACAAATTCCTTTCCTCACAATCTCTCTAGAACAAAGAAAAACTCACTATTCTCTCTAAACTCTCAGATTTACCAGCAAGAATCCGCTCTCAATAGGGTTTAGTTATATACAAACCCTAAAACCGAAACAGGCTAGGAATCCAAATTCGGCCCAGACCCGCTATCGGTCGACCGATGCACTCCCATTGGTCGACCAATAGGTCTCCATCAGTCAACTGATAGGTGAGATCGATCAACTGTCCAGAGCGGTTGTTTTCGACCCTGTAGTGTGCATGTGTATCGGTCGACTGATATTGTTCATCGGTCGACTGATATTGTTCATCAGTCGACCGATCAAAGCCAGTTTGTCAGACTTGTTATTTCCTGATTTTTGTCATTTCCATTCGTCGTTTCTATTCTCAAGCTACCATGAGAATCATCTATCTTCTAGCTCCCATGAGAATCGTTAAGTTCCCAAAGCAGAGAAGATACACTCATATCATGGCTCTCCCCTTTAGGAACTTAAAGTCTCGTTCAAGTTAGAACTTCAGCTGAGGAGACTCTCGAGCTCCTCCTTCTTTGTTAAACCACTTGACCTTGCTAGAAACCTGACATTGATGTCCAACCACAAACAACTCTTTCATCCCATGTCTAGTCGTAGTCACCTTCCGCTCCAATATGCAATCCTCTTTCAGTGGCTCCTCTCTATCAAACCACAAGTCTTCAACATGCGGCAAGATCACTTTGTCGTCATCCTCATCATCCAGCAATGGAGGTTCGAATAACTTCAAGTACTCAGCATTAACCACTGAATACATACCTAAGTAAGGTGGCAAATCCAGCTTGAAGGCATTGTCATCGATCTGATCAAGAATCTGAAACGGACCATATCGTAAAGGCTTCAATTTCTTTTCTTGTCCCTTTATTTGCTCCTTACCTAACTTCAGCTATGTCATATCACATTTGCCAAAGTTATAAGGAACTCGATGTTGATCATGCTTCGCCTTGTACTTCGATAGTGACTTCTTCAACTGTGCTTCAACTGTGGTGTAAATCTGCACAATATTCTTTAGAAATCGCTGAGCCTTCTGTCTTTCGCTCCCTTCTTTGCCGTCGGACGTAGCATCACTAGAGACTACTAAATCAAACGGACTTGGAGGTAAGAACCCGTAACAAGTCTCAAATGGTGACTTCCCGAAGATCCGTGAACAGTCCTGTTAAAAGCAAACTGAAAATATGGTAAGCTCTCATCCGAAATCTTGGGATGTTTGGAATTATACCTCCGCAACATGTGAACCATCGTTCGGTTGACTATTTACGTCTGCCCGTTTGTCTGTGGATGGAAGGTTGTGCTTTTCTTCAATCTAGTGTCCATCAAACTCCACAAAGAATTCCAAAAATGTCCAAGGAACCTGCTATCCCGATCCAAAATAATCGAACGCGACAAACCAAAGTGCTTTCACACATGCTCAAAGAACAACTACGCTGCACCGGCTCTCGTCACTGTCTTATTGCAAGGAATCAAGATCACCATCTTGCTAAACATGTCCACCACAACGAATAAGTAATCATACCCGCGCTTAGTCATTAGCAACCCTCCTAAGAAATCCATAGAGATACTCTCCCACAGTTTAGAAGGCACTGGCAACGGTAGATACAATCTCTGCTTTCTGTTAGAAGGCTTTGATGTGAAACATAGCTTATACCCTCCAACATACTTGGTAACATCATCTTAACATCTTTGGTCAAAAGACATGACGTCGAAGATTGAGTAACGGCTTTTGAATCCCAAAATAACCTTGCACACGCGATGTATATGCCTCTCTAATCCACTGCAACCGTTCGCCATCCTCCTGAATGCAAAGTAATATCCCACAATACAACAAATCATCTACTCCGAGCTCATACTCCCTCTTCCGACCTACTTTCACCTGCTCAAACACACTACCGAAGTCTCTGCTGGATGTGTACATATGTGCATATTCCAAGGGAACCAATGGTTGAATACGCATCACCACTAACAAAGCTCTCACCGACGGTCAAGATAGCATATCGGTCAACTTGTTGGTCGCCCCCTTTTTGTACCTAAAGATGATGTTAAATGCCATCAAATAGGACATCCACTTCATGTGTCGTGCCTGTTGTAGCCTCGTCTGGGCATGTAAAAACTCTAATGATTTGTGATCCGAGTACACAATCACCTCCTTACCCAACAGGTACACCCTCCAATGCTTGATCGCCTGATAGAGAGCATAAAACTCCTTATCATAAGTTGGATAGTTCTGAATAGTACCCGTAAACATCTCAGAATGATACTCTACTGGCTTCCTATCCTGCGTCAACACGACGCCCATAGCATAGCTAGAAGCGTCAGTCTCTACCTCGAAGGTCCTTTGTAAATTAGATAACGCCAACACCGGTACCTCCGAAATCTTCTTCTTCAGTAACTGAAAAGCCTCCTCATGAGTCCGACCCCACTCAAACTGAACTTTCGCCTTAGTAAGACCATGTAAGGGTGTCGCATAAATAGAAAAGTGTCGAATAAACTTGCGCAAATACTGACAAGCCTCCATGAAGCTTCTCACCTCCGTTACTGTCTGGCGTCGGTCATTTCGTGATAACCGCAACCTTGTTTGAATCTATCATCCGCTGGCCCTTCCCCACGATGAAGCCGAGATACACTAACTTGTCCCTCCCAAACTCGTACTTCTTCCTATTGAGCTTTAGCGGACCGTCCCGCGGCACTTCAAACACCTTCTCGACATGAACAATATGCTCCTCCCAAGTTTTGTTGTACACCAAGATGTCATCAAGGTAAACTATCACAAAATCCTCTATGAAAGATCGCAGCAAGTCATTTATCAGTCTCATAAAGGTTACCGGAGCATTGCACAACCTGAACGACATCACCAACCACTTGAACAAGCCTTGCTTGGTTTTGAACGCAGTCTTCCAAGTATCGTCCTCTCGAATCCTCACCTGATGGTAACCAGACTTAAGATTCAACTTTGTGAAGAACATCGTTCCGTCCATAAGATCATTGACATCGGTAGTAGGTAACGATTCTTGATTGTTATCTTGTTGAGCGTCCAGTAATTCACACACATGCGCCAGCCTCCATCCTTCTTGGGCACCAATAACACTGGCGATCCACAAGGTGAACTCGGCACTATCACTCCCTTCTCCAGAAATTCCTAAACTTGCCTCTTTATCTCCTTAGACTCCTATACAGATGTGTAGTAAAGACCTATATTCGGCAATGAACTCTCTCTTGTCAGTATAATCTCATGCTCCACACTCCGTCTCGGCGATAGTCCAGTGATCTTCGAAAATAAGTCTGCATACTTGGTTTTTAACCTGTCAAGATCTCCCTCCTAGAGTTTGCTCAAGGTAGTCAAGCATACTCTACTCGGCTGCTCCTCATAAAACCTAATGAATAACAAAACAAACTTCTTGTTTTCATTCACTAGTCTCTTCGCCTGAGTCACCGTCACCAAACTTGTCTCCTGCGAAAGAGACGCAGAATAAAATATGAACTGCTCGTCGTCCTTGGTGAACGTATACTTCTGGGTCCGCCTGTTGTAGACTGCATACATATCCCATAAATAAAGGTTGTCCAATATAACTTGACAAACATCCAATGAAACTATACCGCAAGTGACCTCGTCAATATACGACTCATGGAGTGTAAATCTGATAATGCATAGATGAACTACACTCAGCCCCGCCTCTTTCTGAATCCATCCTAATGGATAAGACTTCGGATGCTTGACCGTCTTCAGACTCAGCTTCTGAATTAAGGCCTCGGATATCAGATTCTTCTGACTGTCTGGATCAACTATGGCATCTACCAAACTGGTCATCACTTGTAACTTGAAAACAAGAGTTGCTCTCTGGGGTCTTCGTCCTCCTTCGTGGCCTACTGTCCTGTCATAATGTTGAGACTATTGTTGGACTCCGTCATACCTGGGACTTTTTTCGGATCTTGCGCTATAACTGTCTTCTTCTCCTCCATCTTCTTCAACCCCTTCGGCTTGAGGTGAGGATACTTCTTTCAGTACCGTTCAACGACATGCTCTGTCTGCTTATAATGACTACAAGTCAATCCTGATTTTCCTGGCTCGCTATTCTTCTTCTCCTTCTCAGGTTGAGAACCACTAGACTTGCCTCCAGCCTGCTTAGCATCTCCCTTCGTCTCGTTTCTCTTCTTATGCTTATCTTTAATGGCAATAGTATTCACGCTAGCCTCCGCAATCGACTCAATCATGAATAGCTTCATCTCTTTTCGGATGTATTCATTCAAACCCGTCATATACTTCATAAAAATAGAGTACTCCCTCGTCACAATATTTAGGACCATAACCTGCTGTTGAAACTCTGTAGTGTATTATTAAACGATTTGATTGAATCTTTGACGCAAACCGTATAACTTGTACCAACGCTCTTTAAGGAATCTCACGGGGTAAAACTGTTTTCTAAGCAGATCCTTGAACCTTCTCCACGACACAGATTTCTTCTCCAGGTTCTCCTGCTTGCAGT